ACACGTCCCCGCAGGCGGCGGCTAGGGCGGGAGTGAAGGAGGCTGGGCGGGAGGGAGGGAAGAGCCGGAGGGAGGGACCGACGGGAGGGACCGCGGGCGCGCGGAGTGGGGGAGGGAGCGAAGGAGGGAGGAGGCGTCTTGGTGGAAACAGCGCCCCTCCACTCCGCGTCCGCCGCAGTCGCCAGCACGGCAGGGGAGCTGTGCCAGGGGCCCGCGCGGCCTCTCCTTCCCCTCACGGCTCGTTCGCCCCCGGCGACAGCGAGGGCAGGGCTGCCTCAGAGCCCACGGCGCGCGCCCCGCCCTGGCCCGCGCCCTCCACAACTCAGCTCCCGCGCCGCGAGTCCCGGAGCTTCTCAGCTCCCTGTGGGGCCCTTCTTGGCGGGAAGCCCCCCACACAGTGCCTCCGAAAGAATTCCATTCCCAGGAGATTCTGGATGGTTCATCCAGCCCTATTGGCCTTCACACTCCACTCATTCAAAGCCTGTGGCTGGAGCCCTGCACTCCAGATTATTGAGCGTCTGCTGTGTGCTGACCTGAACCGAGGGCGGGCTGAGCGGGTGGGTCAGGCCATAAGGTGAACAGAGGATATAGTCTGGGAACAGATGCCAAACACTGCAGAATCCCTGGGCCAAATGCATCCTGAACTTGGGCTGACCTAGGGCTCCTGGTTGGGGAGGCCAGAAGGATATGAATAGGTTAAGGGCTGGGGAAAGAAGGGCTTGCACAGCAGGTGCAAAGGCATTGGAAATTGAGGTGCTGGGAGAAAGGTCATGTCCCATTCTGTTCAAAGCCAGGTTGCTCTGCTTGAGGCACCCACTTGAACCCCAGTCTTCCCTTCTCTCTCCCCCTTGCTCTTTCCTCTGATCTGCCTCAGCCTCCACACCAGTCCTCCCATCTGGTCCCATAGCTAGGAGACTAGGAGGGAGGCACTGGGAATTGTCACTCCTTATAGATCTACATGATCTGGAGGAAAGTACTAACCAGGCCTCAGCCTAAGCATCTCCTTGGCAGAAAGCAAAACTGAAGAGGACCCAAGGAAGGAAGTACCTCTGAGAGGCGGGGGTGGCTAAAGGATCCGAAGCTCAAGGACCTGCTCAGGCCATCAGTATCAGATTGCTTCCCCAGAATTAGGAAAGGATAGTTCGTGGCACAGGACTGGGGGACAGGAGTGGTGGTGAGTGATGGTGGTGAAGGCAGCTTCAGATTCCAGGTTTCCAGAGAAGGACCTAGGGGCTGCACTGCAGCACTGGCCCTTGACTTCTTGGCTACCTATAGCCAAGTCCCTGAAATAAACACCAAGAGCAAATTTCCATTTTTTTTCCTAAGTGGGCATGCTTTCTCCAGGGGATTCCATATCCTGTGGACAGAGTTCTCTGCTGGCCTTGACCTTGAAACTCACTAGTGGACACACACACACACACACCCCCTTTCCCATTTTGCTAAGAATTCAGTCGTCTCTAACAACAGACAGATATGGATTCCTATTGCAGCTGTTTGTCTTTGGGCAAGTCACTTTAAACTCTCTAAGCCTCACTTTCCTTATTTTTAAATTGGCGACGTTGAGAACCTACCAAATAAGGCTGTGGTGAGGACTGAATAAGGTAACCTACGTCTATGGCAGTGCCTGGTGCCTAGTAACTCCTTGATAAATGTAAGCTTACCTACCCTCAGCATCATCTTTGTCCTCATTTCACTTTTCTCTACCTAGCTTGGGATAGGGGGAAGTCTGACAGGGCCAGGCCAGAAGCTGGAGAGGACTAATGGTGGATCCCTCCTGTGATTGTTTGTGGTTTAAACCAAGGATGAAGCTTTAAGGCATGGAAAAGCCAGAGCAGAAGTCTTCCTCTT